GGCGGGCGGGCCCAGCGCCGCCGGGCGTCCCGGGCTGCCGGCGGCCGATGCGGGCGGGGCGCGTTGAGTGGCGGCGGCGGCGGCCAATGCCGGGGCGGCCCCCGCCGCCGCTCCGCCGCCTTCGCGCGCGGTTCGGGTTCGCCCGGCTCAGGTTCTGCGGCGCCCGGCCGGAGGCTCCCCGTCGCTCCCTACCCGCGCTGCCGGCCGCCCCGGCTCCGTTTCTCGGCCTTCCGTGGACTTCCGTGGACGCAGCGTTAGGGGACGTGCGCTATTCTTAGTGATCTTCTCACCTTTTTTGCAATTGATTTCCTCGGTCTGTTACTGAATGGTGCAGAGGTGTGTGCGGAGTTGAAGCTATGTTAGGTATTGATAATATGCAGAGCTTTAATATTTTAAAATACAGGGCTCATCTCTTAAAATAGGACTCAGCCCCATCAGTTTAGTTTTACGTCGTCATGCTTACGTTTGTTTTGTGCTTTAGAGGAACCTTCTGGCGCTCCCTTATTGGAATGGAGATTTCTTCCCACCAGTTTCAGCTCCTGGAGCAGCTGAATGAACAACGGAAGCAGGACTTGTTCTGCGACTGCAGCATCCTGGTGGAGGGGAAGGTGTTCAAAGCACACCGAAATGTGCTGTTTGCCAGCAGTGGGTACTTCAAGATGCTCCTTTCGCAGAGCTCCAAGGACACCAGCCAGCCCACTGTAGCCACCTTCGAGGTCTTCTCTCCAGAGACGTTTATGGTTATCCTGGACTTTGTGTACTCAGGAGTATTGCCCCTAACGGGTCAAAACGTGATAGAGGTCATGTCGGCAGCCAGCTACCTGCAGATGACAGACATCCTTAATGTCTGTAAGACGTTCATTAAGTCGTCTCTGGATATTAATGAGAAGGAGAAGGATCACTACCTGGGCCTCTCAGCCAAAAGCACAAACGGTGAACCTGCTCACGCATCGCTTTATCGCTCAAGGAGGAAAGCAAAGAGCAACCCGAGGCGCTCCTATTCCATTCCAGATGAAAAGGCAGACGTGGTGAATGAGAATTCCTGGAGCAGTTACAGCACTTATCTGTCCTCACAGGTGATCCTTCAGCGGGCGGAAACGCAGCTCTCAAAGAGGGGCAGAAAGCAGGGCTCGGCCAGGAAGCGGCGGAAGCACTTGGGGCTGTCACAGACACGAGAATTTGTGCAGGGCAGAGCGAGTAAAGCTGAGCGGGCTGAGGGCTGTAACACATCAGATTGCAGCCACGACTCCCGAGCTAAAGAGGAGGCTGAATTTGATGCCGAGAATGACGTTGATCGCGCCGATGATGGATATGATCAGGAATCAGAAGTGACACCCAAGAGGTGGGCTGTTGCTCAGCTGGAAGAGCTGTCACAAACTTCTGAGTTCATGGAATTAAAAGCAGAAGAACTGTACAGCTCAGTGCCCACAGTTTTAGGTGTTATGAGTAGTTGGAATGAAGGTAAACAGTACACTTGATTTTGCAAAGTTTGTCGTTATTTAGAGGAAGTGAGACGAGAGAATTTCATAAGCTCTAACTGATGTCCTGTTGATTGCTTTCTTGATCTGCTGTGCTGTAGTGCCTAGCAGAATGTAAGGCTCTAAGGCCAGAACAAGGGGTGAGAAATAGAATCAGAGACTGATCCAGGTGTTGTGTGAGGTTAAAATAAGACCTGCCTGATTATTTGGCCCCACATGGAGCTGAACAAAGCTTGGAGAGCTGCAGTTGACTCGGAGCTGAGGGACTGAATCACTCTTGTGGTTTCTGTGCTCTTGTGTTATTGGAACAATACTGCATTTCCCATGAGGTCCAAGCCAAAACTTGGAGATAGTTTGGTCACGCTACATAAAATGTCCCAGCTCCTGATGAACTGACAGCAGTTCATCAACTGATGGCTTACAAATGTATTCTTATGCACGTCATATTGGAAGCTAACTTAGCATGCCTATGGCTTATTATCATGGCACAAGGTTACGATGTTACGCATCCTAATATATCGCAGAGGTGGTAAATATTTATGAAGTACTACTTGCTGAAAGAGTCAGATGACAGGGTGTAATATAGTTACTACGTACTTATGGTCATACGTCTGTCTAAAAAGTAAGACAATACACCGCCAAATCCCCAGTGAATCATCAGTAGCTTTTGTGGGGGGATTATAGGTTTGGGTTTATTTCTGTTCAATGACGAACCGCAGGAAAAACGGAGTGCTGCTCATTTAAGCTTAGAAATAGCAGAACGATTGCAGAAAGCCATTGATGCAGAGCTGTGTTCCCCCACAACAGATGCCCTGCCTCGCTTGCGGTTCAAGTGCCCCTTCTGCACGCACACGGTGAAGCGCCGCGCCGACCTGAAGCGCCACCTGCGGTGCCACACCGGCGAGCGGCCGTACCCATGTGAGGCGTGCGGGAAGAGGTTCACCCGGCTGGAGCACCTGCGGAACCACTTCCAAACGGTACGGCAGCTCGGGGGCCTGGGGAAGGAGCGCGGGGTTCCGTCGGTGCTGCTGCTCAGCCATCGCTAGAACCAGCGCTGCCACAGTGATTGCAATTGGCAAACTTTTTACTTTTTAGAACGGCTCGGTGTTTATTTGTGATGGTAGCATTACCGGATGAACACTGACACTTTCAAATTCTAAACCTCTTTAGATACATCAAGCCGGCAAACTCATCTGCAGGAAGTGCAAGCGCCAGGTGAGCGAGCAGACGGGCTGCGTTGTGCAGCAGGGAACACGGCGCTACAGGCTGTGCCACAAATGTGTGACAGGGAGCAGCGCCGAGGGCAGCCCTGAAGGAGCGGGCGCAGAACGCGGCCCTGATGGCGCCGGGGGGAGCAAACATTCCAGGTGGGCTTTGGAGGAGGATCAGAGGTCGGATGGTGACGCAGTGGAGGAGGAGCCGTATGATCTGGTTGTGCGCCGTGATGCCGATGGCGCTGCAGGCGAGGCGGATGAAAAGGTGAAACCAAATCTTAGGTAGATAATTTGTATATTCGTTACTGTATATTCAAGATTAAATTGCCCGTGTTACACCAGCTAATTCTGGTTTGTTAGTTGCATTAATATTAAATGCTCCTAAAATTCTGCTGCAAGAAGCAAAATGTGGACTCCAAACACGTTGGTTTGTGCTTGTGAACACCCAGCAGCTCCTGAACATCACCCAGCAGTCACCTACTGCCTGCAAACTGCTTAGAAGAATTGCTTTGCTTTTTGACCAGGCTCTACTCAGAGCTGTTCGTAATGAAAATATAAACCTTTCTACAAGGAAGGTGCTACAGTATACGATTAAAAACAAACGAGCACACAGCTATGGATAATTTGCTTTTGGAAAGTCCTACAAAAGCAAGCATCTAAGAAGTGTAAAACATATTTGTTGGCAGTGTAATTAACACATATATACACTTACGAAGTTTCGTAAGAAAGGAGTGAGAAAATCGGAATCCTCCCCGCTCCGCTCTCGTTTTAAAGGGCTGACAGAAGGAACAGCCGCCCCCGCCTCAGGCTTCGTGGAAGGCAGCCACACACTCGACGCCTGATTGGCTGTTCCCGGTCACCTGACTCAGCTAGCCAATGAGGTGGCTGAGCGGCCGCTGAGGGCCCGGGGCGGTGGCAGTGCGCTTTGCCGCCCACCGCTGCGCTCTCGGGGCTTCGCCATGGGGCGGCGCGGGGCCGGGCCTCGCTCCTTCCTCACAGCGCGGGCATCGCCCCGTGTTGCAGGCCGGCCCCGCGGAGCCCCGGTGTTCGTCCTGAGTGAAAATCCTCACTTCTGTACATTTGGCAAACGAATGGTTCTCCAACCTTATTTAAAGGAGGGTTTTCTCACCGTAGTGGAGAACAAAGCACGAATGCAACTGATTAAACTCAAACACCGCCAGCAAAAATTACTCACGCAAGTTCTTCCAGTCAACAGATTGTATTTTTTCCCCTTTAAAATCTGATTTAAAAAGACTTCACAACAAAACAGAGGTGAGGCACCCCTAGGTTTACCACAGGCAGGGCAGCCCTCCCTCACACCCAACGGCTGAGGGCTGACAGCCGGGCTCTCAGTTGTGTGCAGTTGTCCTTTCCGAAAACAAAAGGAAGCTGATGCAAACTGCCTTCTAAAAGAAGAGATCCTGCTCTCGCAAGGCTTAGATGGGAGCAGACCTGCAGAGAATCGGCCAACCCCTTTTTCAGTGCCAACAAAAGCGGTCTCCACTTTTCCCAGCTGTAAGGAGCTGCAAGGATTCCATGCGCGGTCACCTGCGTTCAGGGTGCATGGAAATGTATTTGTGGTAAATCAGCACCACCTGGTGGTCTGACAAAGTTCTCAGAAGAATGTTTCGTTTTTTAAATAATTTGTGTTTTTCCTCGGGGGGCCTTCGAACAGCAACTGTCCTACATGAAGGTTGACTCTCCACAGGTATCTTGGCAAATTTAGATTACATGAAGAGGGACATCAGCTCACAACTGCTACAGTTAAATTTTCCCATGCAATCACGTAGATCAACACTTTCCTGCCGCCCAACAAAAAGGCAGTGCTGTAGCAGCTCCACTGATTTCTTTATTTACTTCATACACTGCCTTAGAAGCCAACCGCCAGCGTTCCTGAGGGACTTCCATCCCCTACAGCCCGCATCTCAAATCCCCCCAGACCCAATTACTTCTGTCCTGGCAGGCTGGCACTGGTCTGGCTCACCATCTTCCCACCACAGCACAGGATGACATTCCCCACAACTCTCTCCTGCTTCTCATTTGAACTAGCTAATTCCTTGGTTGCTTCCCAGAGGTTACAGTTCTGAAGGGGTTTTGCCAGCCACTGACAAGCATCCACTTCGTTAAACTTGCTTTAAATATCAATGATGACAAAGACTTCTGGCTTTTCTTCTTCACAGATCTGCATTGCTGAGTAAGTTATGGCTTTGACCTCTGTGCCCTAGAGTGAAAAGACACAAAGGCATCAATGTTTTACATGACACCTTGCAGCACTTCACACTGATACATAATATTTACCACTTTCTACAAATGTTAGGCAATTTTTCTCCCCTAGAAGTTTTAAGCATGCTTGTTCCAAATGTTCTGTTTGGCCAAGCTAAATAGGAATTACAGAATTCCCCTCCACTCCCCTCTCCCTTTATTTTATTGCTTCCTGAATACTACAAATTCTTCCTCTTACCTGTGACATACCATCAACATTTGATATTTGAATTTGACATAACTCAGCGGCATGCTAAGACGTAAAGACTTGCATGTAATTCTTCTGGGAGTGGAGGGGGAAAGCAGAAAAGGACTAAGCAAGAAGCTGTGGAAGCAGTATGAGAACCAAACCCACGTAACGATTCTGGCTATGGACTGGCTCTTTCTTATCACGCATCACAAAAAAGGAAGCCAACTGCTGAGTTTGCCATCGTGGAGAAAGCATCAGCTCAACAGTTCAGAAATGCATTCACAAAAAACTGCAGGAAGTGAGATCTTAAGTTAGTAGTGCCTGTGATACCATTCAGACATGTTTATACTTGGATCTCTTGAGTACTTAAGAGGTTTGATTTAGAAGAATCCATTCTTCCTGTCCTACCCGAAAAGATAAGCAATATATAGATGAACTGCTGCGTACCTGGGGGTGTTTTGGTAAAGAGAACTCTTCTCCCCACCTTTAAAGGCAAAAAGAAAAGAGCAGGTTGCACTGTTAGCATTTAATCAAACACTACAGTTAGTTTCACTGATGAGCATTGGACAGTTAGACTTAAATTAAAACCTCAAAGGAAGGATAAGAGCTCCTTTTTAGAAATTATCTGTGACCTCCAGCACATCGCGATAGTTCACAGTGGTGAAATGAAGGGCAGTATTTGTCATCAGTGGAAGATATTAATTACTCAACTGATCATATGAACTCACCCAATTGATCTTATTTTGAATTGCATTCGGTCAATGTAAAGCACTTTCACCTCCTGCAGAGAAAACAAGTGGAAAAGCGTGTCACCAACCTCTACCCTCAGGCACTCAATCTCATTAACAAGAATATTCCAGCTTAAATGAAATCTAAACCCAGAAAACTGGAGTATTCTCAAATACATACAGCACTGCTAATGACTACGCCTAATGACTGGCATCTGTGGAAACAAAGCTAAGCGTTTGCTTCTCAGCTCTTTGTGCTTTTGTGTCTTATTCTCCTGCTTCAAAGTGATCTGCTGAGTCCCTCTTTCTGCCTAAAAGGACACTGCATTCAAAAGTGGCTTATCAGAGAACAGCTTTGCCCTACAAAATGGAAATAGAACAAAACACGGCACTTACCCTGGGTATAAAGAACTCATTAGCACTGAATTTATACAGCCACTCATCCAAGAAGTGGAAGAGAAGGGACAACATATCATGTCCTGCATGGTTGAAGCGGAGAAGGCAGTCAGCTGATTGTCCCAGCAACAAGACCCAAATGTTCAGCACACTTATGAGCACAGCAGCCGTACAGCTCCTGCATTACTACAAGATTCAGATGAATTAACTGAATTATCATTAGCTACAACAAAACTACATCTAAAGACGCAGAGGATTTCGGTGCACTCCACCAGCAGGGTTCCTACAGTTCCAATGTAAGCCAGTGCAGTTTTTACCTTCTGCTTCTACTTCAACAGTATCCAGAGGTTCCACAGTCTCTGTATCAGTCATGTAGCCAAACATGGCCATGACGCACTGCTCAAATGCTTCTTCCAAAGTGTCTCCCCACGCGTGTAGCCTACAGGGACACAGGGTAATTCACTGCACTGTAACCACAAAATCCCACTGTGCTATGCAGGTGAGAAACATGAATGCGAGAACAAATGCAAAGGAGGTCACTACCAGAAAGGCTTGTCTGAACTTTTGTTATGGGGAGATTACAGGTTTTTCTTCTTACGGTATATGAGAAGAATTTCTTAGGAGAAAAAGGAAAATTCTTATTTTACCAGATGACAGGAAAGTCCTTTGTAATGCAGTAAATGGATATCCATGAACTGCCGAGACGAAAGGTGATGTAAGGGCAGGAGTTTAAAAGATTTCAAAAGATGCTCCCAAACAACAGAGGCTTAAACAGCAGCACACAGGAATACTGCATTAGAAATAAACTGTGCACCCCCAGGAGTGGAAACAAGGGACGGCTGCCCACACTTACTGCACATCTGCTGTGTGATCCAAATCTGAGGAATGAAAAAAAAAAAAGGCATGACATCAACAAATATAACTTTAAAAGATTAAAAGATTCTGGACACTGATGTTATAACAGTAACTTTCTGTGTTCACTTTGAGACATAAAACTGAGTGTCTATTTTCCAGTACAGAGAAACAGCACAGATGAAATTTGGGATTATTTCTGCTCATCAGAAGTGCGTTTACCACAGATTCTGTCAGCACCCTCCATGTGCAGCACTGTGTGCTCATTGCAGTGCAACAGGCTGCTACAGGTTAACTGCAATAAAAGCCTTTCACCACGAATAGTTTTTGCTGACGTCTGCAGGACTGAAGATCTGCAAACCTTTACAGCTCAGTGAAGTGTGCCTGCCCAACCCACAGACATCCACAGTGCCACAAGGGGAACTTTAAAATGTACGTAATACAAAATATAAAGTAATCTTCACTGATGAGGCAGGCTTAACATCCCAAGCACGTATCAGGTTTTACACAAACATCACTTACATTCCGTTAAAGGAACCAGAGGAATGCAAAATAAGGCCAGATTGGTGCAAACAGCCACGTTGGGACATCAACATAAGCCACCCTGCAACCATTGCAACTGAGGCTCATTCTGAGGCTGCTCAGGGCGCTCACACACATTCACTGCTCCTCAACAACTGTCACTAAAGCAAACAAATTCTAGTGAATATAAAAGAAAACCTTTTCCAATTATGGAAACAAAGTTAACCGTTGTGATGTGTCACGGTGTTCCTGCACCGTCCCTCCAAACAGACACACGGGCTGCCGTGCCCCAAGCCAGCCCTTGTGCTGACAGCCACTTCTTAGGAGACTCTGAGGGGGGGAAAGGAAGCTTTACTGCAACTATCCGCAATGACAGCGATTGCAGTTATGTCCTCTCTATTACTCAGCCCCAGATGCATCCCACAGCCTAAACGCACAGCACTGGCACAGTGCGAAACCCCACAAGCACCTAAAAAGCTCATCCCATTTCCTTCCTCCCCTCCTGCCCTGGAGCACACACACACACACACGCCGTATCACTGTGCTGCTGCATCACTCACATTCGTACTTCTTGGTGACCGGTGGGTACTTGGCCTTGACAGCTTTCTGCTCCTCCGTCAGGCCATAGTCCCGCTCGCCGCCTGCCATGGCTCTGCTCACTTCCTGCTCACACGAACATGGCCGCCGCCTCGTGCCTCCCGCAGCGCTGCTGGGCTGAACGGGGAGCTGCTTCCAGCCCGGGAGCTCAGCAGCAACCGGTGGGGAGCGGCTGCACGCAAGCAGGTCCGTTAAAACAAGATTAGACACGCCGAGTTCAGTTCTGCACCATTCACCCTGCCGGCCCACAGCAGCGACGCTCAGCACTGCGCATCCCGTTCTTCTATTCGAACAGCAATAAAATGCTGTAATAACGAGAACATGATTCTCACAGCTCTACAGTGTTAGCCGGGTCACTTCGGCTCCTGAGTGTATCACAGCACTGCGATCCCCAGGGGCAGCCCGGAGCCCAGCAGAGAAAAGAGGAGCCCATGGTTCCTCTTGGGATGGGGGCTGCACTTCAAGCTGCGATCCTATCGCTACGGAACGGCACAGAGGCTGGCCTGCACTCATTTGCCCACAGAATTCTTTATTTTTTTTACTCTGAACGGTGGAGAAGATGCTGTTTCAAGCCACCTTTTAGAAGCTCGATTCTCCCACCAGACCTCCGCGGCTGCTCAGTTCCACGCCGACTTTCATTTGTAAATAACAGACACAGGCTGGAGTCTCTGAATAACTTCAGGCCAATTATTTCCGAAGATTCCACGCGAATTCGCCATGACTTTTTCCAGCAAGAGAGGCTCCCGCTGCCCGCCACGCAACAATTCTACACGGGATTTCCAGGTTCTATTTCCAAATAAAAACTGGGATCTGCAGGCTGCACGGTGGGGAAGCGCTTCTCGGAGGGAATAAGACCGAAGGAACACGCGACTGAACGGGAAACGAGCTACAAACCAGGGCTCGAGGGAGGGCGCAGCGGCCCGTCAGCAACCAATAACCGGGAAGCAGCAGGACGATGCTCGGGGGGAGTTCCGGGCCGGCAGCCCCCACCGCAACCCAGCGCGGCCCGCTCGCAGTGCCGGCCCCCAGGCCTTCTTCCCCCCCCCCCCCCGCCGCGGCCCTCACTCACCGGGGCGCTGTCCCTTTAAGGACCACGCGAGGGGCGCGCGCCGCCCGCCCCTTCCCTCCGGAAAATGGCGGCTCCCAGGGGAGCTTCGGCCGCGCCTCCCCGCCTCCCTCCTTCCCGATCTCCCTCACACGTGACCGCCGAGCGCGCTCTCCTGCCCCTTGTCCCCGCCCCTCGCCGCTCTCCGATTGGCGGAAGCGTCCCGGCGGCGGGCGGCGATTGGCCAGCGTTGGCGCGCGAAGGGGTGCGCGGCGCCGGAGCCGCACGCAGCGGGGGCAGGAAACAATAGAGCCGTGGCCGAAGAGGAGCGGAGCAGCGGCCGCCCGCCTCGCGCAGCCCAGCCCCATTCCACCGCCCCGTTCCCCCTCCCCGCCATGGCGGACAAGGAAGGTAGGCCTCGCGGCGCGGCCTCGGCGGCGCGGCCTTCTTCTCTCAGCGCTCCGCGAGGCGTTAGGCCTCACTCCCCGCCCCCCCTCCCCCGCCTCCATCGGCCGGCGCCGTGAGGAGTGCTGGCGGGGGAGCTCCGGCAGGGGGCGCTGTGCGGGGGGCGGGGGTCGCCGGGCGTCCCGTGGGGGCCGCGGGGCCGGGCCAAGGGCGAAGCGATGTGAGCTGCGGGGGGCGGAGGTGGGGGACAACGGGGGGAGTCGGCCCCGGCCGTGGGTTTACGGGTCACGGCCGCCCCCGGGCTGCTCCGCTGACGCTGCGTGCGGTCGCCGCTAATTGAGAAGCGAGGGGCAGCGCGTGCGGTGCGGGCTGCGTGTCGCCGCCGTGCCGTTTGAGGATAAGCGGCTCCCTTCGTTGAGTGCCCGCTCAGCACCGTGCGCCTTGTGAGCGTGTGGTGAAGGCTGACATCCCGCATTTCTTTTGAATAACTTCAGCAGCCTTCGATGACGCGGTCGAAGAACGTGTGATCAACGAGGAGTACAAAATATGGAAAAAGAACACACCCTTCTTGTACGACTTGGTAATGACCCACGCTCTGGAGTGGCCCAGCCTGACTGCTCAGTGGCTTCCTGATGTGACGAGGTGAGGGTGCATGCTGAATCTTCCCGTTGCTGTTGCTTTGATTTTGATGCTTTTCTTCTTCCAGCTTCATTCTCCGATTTGAAATGCAAAGCCCCCCTCCCCACTGAAGGGGAACTAAATATAATTTCAGTTTAAGCACTCTCATCCTAAGCTTCCACAACAACATTCTGCTTCCAAAGAACGTTCATGCATCTCAAACCATGTACTGGGGAGGCTGTTAAAGTCTCTTAAAGGAAGGCAAGGGAACTGGTGGAGTTATTTGGGGGTAGGTGCTGTTGTGCTGCAGTAAGTTTAATTTGAGATCTTGAGTTTGGAGGAGTGATTCCTCTGGAGGAAGAAAATCCCGTGCCAGAGCAGGAGAGCAGTGCTAACTGCTAAGGATGCTACTGGTGTTGGGAGCTGTCATCAAAGGATGCCGTATTCAGCTCTATGTTTGTGTGAACTCCTGTGTTTCTCACCTAAATTTCTCCTCTTGCAGGCCTGAGGGCAAAGATTTCAGCATTCACCGGTTGGTCCTGGGGACTCACACTTCAGATGAACAAAACCATCTCGTGATAGCAAGTGTGCAGCTGCCTAATGATGATGCACAGTTTGATGCCTCACACTACGACAGTGAGAAAGGAGGTAAGGGAACAAAGATGTCAATCAGGTGGGGCTTTAACTGTTTTTCCTCCATTTTGTGGTGGTTGAATCAATCTTTCTACGTGGTAAAAGTTCTTAACAATCTAATTTTAGCTTTTCTTCTTGTCAGAAGCCTGGATTACGCAGTTCATATTTTGATTTTGGGCTTCTTGGAGTTATTTGTAAATGTGACATTGTTTGATAAATACTTTTTCTACTATTTCATGTTGAAGGTACATAGATTTAAACCAACGTGCCACTACTAACTAAAAGAATCCAGTCTGCATGCTCTTGTGACTGTTCCTCCCCCAAATAAATGCCTGATGTTACCAACAACTGACTCTGAGTCTTCGTGTCCTGATATGAACATGGTTAATTGTTTACAGTCATTAAATTCTTTTTTTTTTTCCCCCAGAGTTTGGAGGCTTTGGGTCTGTTAGTGGAAAAATTGAGATTGAAATCAAGATAAATCATGAGGGAGAAGTGAACAGAGCACGTTACATGCCACAGAACCCCTGCATCATTGCCACAAAGACTCCATCCAGTGACGTCCTCGTCTTTGATTACACCAAACATCCTTCTAAGCCAGGTGCCTGGAGCTTTGTCACCTTTGTGCTTCAGGGCTACAAAAGTGTCCAAGCAGCCTTTTCTTAAGGGAAGGTTGATGGGGTGCGAAAGAGGTTGAAAACTTTTGTGGGTTGCGTATGGTGTAACTTTGATCCATGATGTGCTGACGTGATTCCAGGCACTGGAGCTCTTATGCTGCTTTTTTACAGACCCGTCTGGAGAGTGCAACCCGGATCTGCGTCTGCGTGGGCACCAGAAGGAAGGCTATGGGCTGTCGTGGAACCCAAACCTGAGCGGGCATTTGCTCAGTGCTTCTGATGATCATGTGAGTGCTTTTCAGTACAGCTGGGGTGCAACCTGCACTTTGTGTCCCTTGACAAAGCTCAGAACTGTTCTTCTGTTGGAGGGGGTGGAGGTGAGGGAGCGCAGAGAATTTTTGTCTAAAGATAAAATCTTTATTTTATTTATTTTTCCCTCTTTTTTTTAAGACCATTTGCTTGTGGGATATAAGTGCTGTTCCAAAAGAAGGTAAAGTGGTGGATGCAAAGACCATCTTCACGGGGCACACAGCTGTAGTGGAAGATGTCTCCTGGCACCTGCTCCACGAATCTCTTTTTGGATCCGTTGCTGATGATCAGAAGCTCATGATGTAAGCGGGCTGCTTTCTGTAGAGGCTGAACATCTCGGTCCATTTTGCCTTCCCAGCTGCTCCCTGCTCTCCCGTGAGGTGGGCTGTGAGCCTTTGCTCCAGGTCTGTATTCCATTCCTTCTTCCAGCTGGGACACGCGGTCGAACAACACCTCCAAACCCAGCCATTCCGTGGATGCTCACACAGCTGAAGTCAACTGCCTCTCTTTCAATCCCTACAGCGAGTTCATCCTGGCTACGGGATCAGCTGATAAGGTCTGTGCTTTCATTGCCTCTGCAAGGGGTTGGTTTGGTTTCTGACGTGTGGGAGTGGATGTGTGGTGTTGTTACCTCAGGACAAAATGTTTCCTTTCCTTGACAGACTGTTGCGCTGTGGGACTTGAGGAACCTGAAGCTGAAGTTGCACTCCTTTGAATCACATAAAGATGAAATATTTCAGGTATAACAAAACCTCTGTGTCTTCCCTGCACCTGAGCTTAGTTGTGCTTAGCTAGCAGGCAGAATGGAAGGCAGGCTGTTTCAGTGTGTTTTCATGAAGTGGACTTGTGCTTCAAAACCTCATTCCTCCCTCTCACCTGCTTATAATTTCCTGGTTTGTTGTTGTGGAGCTTTCTGTGTGTGGGGGAATTCCAGAGCAGATAAGAGTGTCCAGAAAGCTGGGGGCAGAAAGTAACGAGGAAATGGCTGAGAGCTTGACCCACAATGTTGGGAGTGAAATACCAGCAGTACACAGAGCGTGTAAATTATTCATGGCAGCAGATTTGAAGCAGCAAGGCACAGTGAAATGGCTGCAGCATTTTCATCTTCTCAGCTTGGTCCTGAGGCAAGGCTTGAGGTGGCAGCCATGAAAGGAGATTGCTGGACCATCCTGTGGCAAAAAAGAATTGCTAATTTTGCTGGTGTAAATATAGAAAGTTAACATCACTGGTGGCATGTGCTTTGCAGATACAATATTTCCATCCCCAGCTCATGCAGTAGTCAGAACAAAAGTATGTGGAAGGGTTTTTTTTTGTCTAAGGATTGCTTTTAAAGACCAGTTACCTCTAAATACAGTTATGCTCAGAACTGTGAAACGTCAGGCCAGTGTGAAGAATTGTCTTATTTTCTCATCCTGTGATCCTATTAAGTGGAGTGTTTTGGAGAGGTTTATCTCCAGCAGCCGTGGTAAATGAGAGCTCTGGGGCAGTTAGGCTTCAATTACAGCAATTTCTTTTCGTGTGTAACCACAGCTCCCATTTCAGGCACCCAGAGTTTACATTGGTGCAGTTCTCCTGGGGGAGCAGCTGATGGTCTGCAGGGTTGTTTATGCTTGTAACACGTGCTCTCTGCTAGAGAAGAAGTTGCACGTGAGGCCTGTTTGGTGCTCAGATTCTTTGTTAGCACACAGGCTCAGCAGAACTGCTCGCTACCTTAGGATGTCATTATGGGGAATGTTTCTCTTTCGAGGTAATAATGATTTGAGTTTTCCTAAGGCTCTCGTACTGTAAGGTGCAGCAGATCCTGCCGTGTCTCAGGTTCTTCCAACTGACTTCATTTCTGAATTCATTCTTGCCTGTAGGTTCAGTGGTCGCCCCACAATGAAACCATATTGGCCTCCAGTGGCACCGACCGCCGGCTGAACGTCTGGGACTTGAGGTAAATCCCGAACGAGGCGGGTTGTGCTGATGGAATTCTGATGAGCTGCATCACAAGCAGCAACAACAAAACCCCATTTTCTTTTTGAAGTAAAATCGGAGAAGAGCAATCCCCCGAGGATGCTGAGGATGGTCCCCCAGAACTGCTGGTAAGAATTCTGAGCCTCACTGATTGCTGGGTCCCTGCAGCGGAGATTGGAAATGTTTGGAAATGTTTGCCCCCCCACCCTTTTTTTCCCCTTCACTCCTAGTTCATTCATGGTGGTCACACTGCAAAGATCTCCGACTTCTCCTGGAATCCCAACGAGCCCTGGGTGATCTGTTCTGTATCAGAAGACAACATCATGCAAGTGTGGCAGATGGTAAGTTGTCTGGGAGAGTGCAGGAGGTGGCAGATAAGAGACAGTGCTGAACTGCCTGAAGGTCAGCATTCCGGGTTCTGTTTACAGGCCCCAGAAGGGTTTGCTTTGTAGCACTGCCTAAATCTCAAATGGGCAGTGAAAAAGGTTTGAGATTCGGTAGAAACAAGGGCTTACAAATCCTGAGAAGCTGTTTTGTATTTCTCGTATATATTTATATACTGTAATTTAGTGGTAAAAAGGAAAGTAGGTACTGGTG